TTAGAGAATGGCTGTATATTGTTAATGGCCACTGAAACTTGCGAGGCGTCTCTGAGGAAGAGAGCTGTATCGTCTGCCAGCTGACTTATGAGTATTTCTCTGTTAGCAATGACCAGGCCTTTTAAAGAACTGAGTTTAATGTGCGAATTAAGGAGTTGCACAGAAAGAAGGAATAAATATACGGATGGGGGGCAACCCTGCCTCACTCCACGCTTTATAGAGAATCTTGGGGAAATACCAGTGGCAAGCTTTATGGAGCCGTTACTGTTGGAATACAGTGTCCGAACGGCATTACAGAAGGACTGACCAAACCCAAATTTATTTAAAGCAGTGAAAATAAACTCATGCTTTAAGGAGTCGAACGCCTTGTAGAAATCTAAAAAAAGAATAAGACTATCATCCTGTACAAGTTCTGGGTAATCTATTATGTCTAGAATTAATCTTATGTTGTTTGAGATATGACGATTCCGCATGAAATCAGACTGACTCTCATCAATAACTTTATCTAATACAGGTTTCATTCTATTAGCCAGAATTTGTGCCAATATCTTATAGCCGTCTTTCGTGCTTGGCTCTCCTACCTTTGCTAACGTGATGCACATAGCGCAGAAGCCGATGCTGCATTCACTTACACTCGGATATCTGAGCTTCACCGTGAAAACATAATCGTACATTTGATATTTGATTGAATTTTATTGTTTTGCCTTTAGGGTGGCACCTGGGGTGGCCAGTCTGGTTGGCCACCCCGCTGGACACGCCACTGCAGACAGTTAACCATACACACACGCATATTCACACCTTTGGGCAATTTAGAGTAACCAGTTGGCCTAATCCCACTAACTGAATGTCTGTGGACTGTGGGAGGAAGCCGGAGTAGCTGGAAAGAACCCACACAGACACAGAGAACATGCAAACTCCACACAGAAAGGACCTTCTTGCTGTGAGGCAACCGTGCTAATAAATGTCATATTTCAGTAAATTTCATGTGTGGACTCATTCATTACATTTAGCCAGTTTTTAATATGAATTAAACGGAGGCTACAAAATAAGTGCACTGACTCTTCTCCTGTATGTTATTTGTATTCTTTTTCATTTTGGGGATTATTTGTAAAAGTGTAAAAGCAATATGTTGAAATTAAGAATTATTTGTGGCTGTCTATCTACAAACAAATCTGTCTTCCACTTTACTTGATAAAATCTTTTCATGTTGATTCCACAGAACGATTTATTTATGTAATCTCATCAGCTGGTAATTCTTCATGTTTTACCTTCATCATCGCTTCTGATTGTGCGTAAGTGCTTAATGTACACAAACTTTGACCAAATGTTTTCATAACCAATTATAAGTATTATTAGATAACCTTTGATTGGCTACTTGCCCAGCAACAAAGACTATGGTTACTATGACAGACTATGTTCTTCGTGGTAAGTCTGACAGTTTCAGCTTTAAAAACAGACAAACACGGAGTGCTTGTGTGAGCACTCAGTGTTTCCTCCACCTACATCTGTTTGATGATCACCCGACACAAATCCAACAGTGTGCCTACCGCAGTCAGTCAGCCAATCACATGAGGAATGTTGTCTTTTAAAGACACATAAAACCTGCCCAGCAACTCCTCAGCTTTGTTTCACCGTGCTGCCGTGATGCTTCCATGGAAGTTTCAATGAAGAGGCGAACTGGCTTCAGTCCAGACAGACTCAGTTCGCATGCTGGGAAAAATGTTGTTCATATGCATTTAGACTAAGTGAGCAAAACAGACTCAGATATTGATTTAGAGAACTCGCTGATTGTGTCAAGGTAATGATGTCATTGCTTGGCCTGCTAATAAACTTCTTACAGATTTTATTTTTAAAGTACTGAAATAGAAAATAACCACTGAGCTTTACCAGCTCAGATTTTAACTCCCTGTAAATGTGTGTGAGGACCCTAGCTGCTAGCCACTAATTTTCAGTGTGTGATGGTCTGAACCAATGTTCCCTCTAATTTTTCACGTGTCTGAGCAAACACACAAACTCCCTGAGCGATTCCTTGGACCACTGTGAGCAACAGCAGACGTGTGCACTGTGGTCACACCAGCATCAAATCCATGTTACATGGTTTATTAAAATAATCAAATTACAGCATTTACAGTTATGGTAGACTACTTTTAATTAAGTGCTTTAGCCCACTTACAATGAAAATTTTAAAAAGTCATGCTCATGGTCTGTGTAGTATGTTAACACTATTGGAAGTAAAAATATTGTAACTTGTATTATGAGTCTGTGGTCTGGGAGAGAGTCCTGCAACTCTCTGTCTGTAAAATACAGGATATAATGACCAATGTTGGGCAATTAATTATATAGTTACTTCTTTAAAAAAGTAACTCAGTTTTGCAAACAACGAAGTTTTTTCAGCTGTTTATCTAAAAATGCAGCCAAGGCGGTTTTTTAAATAAACATTTCAAACTATTTACAGAACAATCAGCTGTTCTGCATCAAATTTGATGCCACACAAATTATTTGTGCCACTCCAAAAAATCATTTCTGTCCACTATGAGATAAAGGAGAACATTAAAAGCCTGACAACAGGAGATGTATCACTCCTGTAACACCTGTAACATTCAGCAGTCGCCTCATTGTTCTGACACACACAACAAAACTATTGACTACACTACAAACTAACTACACAAGACAACACACTAACTTTAGACTCCAAACACGCTAAGCGTCGCAAATCTCTCACATCTCAAAACACCGCCTTCACTCCTAAAACTTCCCCCATCTAAACAACTAGATGCCATGTTGCCATATTATTTTTTTAATTGGTCGACATGGTGCATTTTTCGACCAATGGGATTTTTTGTGTTTCTTTTTATCGCTGTGTGACTGTTTTCATGTGAAAGCTATTAAAACCCGATTCTTTGATCCCCATGATAGAACAGAGAAAACCCGACTCAGAGTGGTCAAAACATTTATAATTCTTTATTCAATCATCTTCCTGAAGAGGGAAAGCCCTGCACAGCCCAAAGCCAGTGGCAGGATCTCTAACATTAGAAGCTAAGAATGTCTCACATATAGCTGTTATTTTGGTACTTTACACATCACACAATTTCGATACAAACAACTCCTTATATGGTACAAGTTCCTCTTTTCTGTCTGGCTTCCTGTATTTATTAATATGCTTGTATAGCTCTACACTAACTTCCCGTTTTTCAGTCTGGCTGAGCACTTGGTTTATGAGTCAAAAGTGGCCTTGCTTTACAAACCTTCATTATTAAAGTACATAAAACAATATAATCAGAAAATAAGCACTAAGAATATATTAATTACATGACAAAGCCTGTGTGCGCTAGTATCGCTTGCCACTCGTTCATGTTGTCATTAACGTGGCTTCACTCCTCATCAGCCGCTTTGCTAGCTAAAACACCGGTGTTGGCACATAAGGACGCTGTCACAGCCTGTCAACAACGTTGATTCGCTGCGTATATACGAATGTGAATCGTATCATTGGCTGGAGCAGCCAGTCACCGGTCACTTACTGACTCACACTGCAGATAAGAATGAATTGTTAACGTATTTATTTTAATTTCAATTCAGGTTAGTTTTTTTGTGTGTGTGTGCAACGCAGATTTTCTGTGCGCACAGACCGTGCCAAAAGTGCGCGATTGCGCATGCGTGCAGCTTAGAGGGAACATTGGTCTGAACTGCTTGTGGAATATAGGAACATCATCTCGCTGAAACCAAGACTGTCCCTGAAAACGACACCTGAGGGTCAGTACATGTCGTTCCTAAATCTGTATTATTGTGGCATTTGCACATGGCAGGGTAACCTGCCATGTGCAAATGCACTAATGCCCCCCAAATACCTTTAGGGATGCTGACTTTGCACTGATTGGATGGTCTTGCTCCTCTTCAGCCTGTAGGATCCAGCATCCATGATTTCCAGCAGAGTCTGAGACTCTAATTGGTCAGAGGAGAGGAGAGGTTACCCCTAAGCCTACATCCATCATAGATGAGCTCAGGCTCAGAGAAGACAGACGTGTTTGCTCTATTTGTTCTTTATGTTCTTTATGTGGTGGAGTTTGAACCTCATGTGTGGATGCACGGATGAGCTGTAGTCCCTGCTGATGGTCTTCAGAGTTTTATGATCTCACGCAGATATTTCACCACAGAATCATCTCTGAGGACCTGAACATCACCAACATCCAAGCTGTGCAGCCCGGTCCCTGTGTGCAGGCATTTCTCTCGATCCTTTGAACCCTTTCAAGAGATTTTGACCCATAAACAAACAAATCCAAATAATTCAAATTCTTCTCAAATTGTTGAATTATTTGTCCACGTATTTCGTAACAGAACCATAAACATGTTCTCTTTACTTCTGAAACAACTTTTTGTATCTTAAGTCTCTAATTAACCTCACTAGTTGGAAGAAGTCCCAAACACCTGCCCCTCCAAGTATTACACAACTTTCACAGTCTTGTTGTAACATGTTGCTAATTTAAAATGAAAACTTAAAAAAAAAAGTTTCTGCATGTCATATATTTTCTTTTAAATGCATTTTTAAAGTGATCATTCATTTGTGTAACTTACATTTTGTACATCATCCAGAGTATTTTAGAAATAAATGTTTGCAACATGCAGAAAAGAAAAGAAAATCTCAAAAATGAGATGAACAGAATAACTTGCTCACGGTTTGGAAATGTTTTAAAGACCTTACTGCGTTACTCAAAGTGTGACTTAGTGCCAGTCAAGCAGGAACAAGGATTTTCCAGTGAAGTCTATTTTGGCGTTGGGTGTTCTTTGATCTGATACCATCAGTTGTGGTTTGGCTGCTGCATATTACGGATTGCAGAGCAAAAGGAAAACATTTCAACTCAACAAACCACTGCGACTAGTTAAAGCACTTTAACTACAGTTTTTCAAGTGACTAAAGGTAAGACCCGACGGTTTAACCTTAACATTTCAGATTAATTCATTCATTCATAATTAACCCATAAAAGCAAAGATTGAACAGAGGTCAAATTTAAATAGTTTTAAAGTTTTTTAATTTAATGTTGTTTGCTCAATGATATGACTTCAAATGCATATGCAGGGCTGGGTAATAAATGGGATCATAATAAAAATGTTTATATAAACTGACAATCAAACTGAAATGTGCTTAAAATACTGATGAAGCTTGTCACAAAGGGTTGTTTGTGGTTGTTACCTGATTTAACATCTGATATTTTTAAAACTAATGAAACAGCATTTCGTGTATATTTGATGCTTCTTGGTTACAGTGTATGTTTCATGTGGCTGCTTTTTTTCCCCTCTCAGACTTTAAATGATCTCTAAGTGATCTTTCTCATCAGCATGTTGTCATCCTTTAAACATGCGAACAGCATTTTCTGTGCATGATTTGGAAACATTAAAGATGATATTGAACTGATTTATTGCAGAAAGGATTAAATAAATCATTTTATTTTTTTGTTGTCCAGCCCTACAACTATGTACTTACTATATGCTAAATCAGTATAGATGCATGCATCTATAACACATAATATCTTGTTTGTTGGTAGTAATCTGCATTACTGATGCAGTGAACAGAAACAAAGGTTATGCAACTTTTGGAAAAACTGATGAATCCATTCCTGTTCCAAAATATTTTTGGTTAAAAATGTAAATTTTAGATTAAATATAAAAAGTTATTGATATAAAAATCAAGAACAGATAGGTTACAGTTGGTATGACCAGTCTGCAGTTAATCACCTACAGAGAGTTTCTCCGCCAATGATGACGGATCACTTAAAGTGAGCTTTTACACATCGCTGAGCAGTCAGGATGTTTGTAGAAGCAAAACATAAAAGCTAGAAGACGACGAAGTCTTCTTCAAAAAGCTCAAACATGCGATTCATGCCCCGCCGCCACAGTGAAAAGTCAACAAATAGAGGGATCAATTCCAAAATCCATCACAGAACTCATAAAGAGGGGTGAACTCATTCCCAGAGTGTTTTTAAATGTGCGCTAACTGATGCAATAATAATAATTAATATTCATTAATATTTTAATATATTCGGGGCCTGTATCAAAGTGCAGGTGAGGAGGCATGATGGGAAGACGTCATGGTTTTAGTTAAAAAAAAATCACAACATCAGCTCTACACACTGAAAAATGAAGTGGTCCAGTACAGGAGGGAGACCAGCTGGAAGTAAAGTGACACGGAAGTAGTAGCAATGCCAGTTGTTTTTAGCTGCTCTGTGACTTTGGTGTCCACAGATGTATCAAACTGAAACCAGCGCGGTTCTTAAGAATGTGGGAGCCGATGCAGAACTCATCTCTAATAACAACTTAAATAACAAGATGGATCTGCTGACTCTGGTCAAAGTCAGTGAGGGAAGATTCTGGCCCATACCAAAGTACAAGCCTATGGAGTTCAGCCTGTCTGAGCTGGCCGAGCTTGAGGAGGAAGAAGACACATGTAAAGGTGTGTAACCACACACACACACACACACACACACACACACACACACACACACACACACACACACACACACACACACACACACACAC